ATATTCCGGCCCATTCTTCTACGGTCCTTAGCACTTTGGCTGATGACACATGTATGTTATCTTCCAATAATGAACCAATTGTAGCATTGCAGCCCTTGAAGAATGGTTTCATAACTGAAGAATTTTTGGCCTCCGTCGTAAACCTACTACATCCTACATCCTATAGTATCCTTTAACAATATCGTACTAATCCGTGTCCTACAGATCCGTTACCTAGGACTCCTTCATGACAAACGCCTTATCTGAAATCCTCATACTAGACTTAAAAGACAAGAAACTGCCAACAGATTCCGACTACTACATCACTTACTTGAGAAACTCTCTAAACTTCCAATGTTCTAAAAAAAAAACTCATATACTCTTCCATCATCAGGCCCATTTGGACATATGGAATAGAGCTTTGGTACTCCACAAAACCATCAAATTCTTCCCGTATCTAATCCTCAAACTCCAATCCATAATCCTCCGTAAAATCCTTACTGATCCTTATTACGTCACAAATAAAAGTATTCATAAAGACCTCAACATTCCCTATGTTGAAGACTTGGCCCGACTAAGATACTCCTCTTTTAATTCCAAACTCCGAGGCGTCTGAAAAGAAGATGGCCAAGGGTCCTTCTAAATTAATTTAATTTTTGAAGTGCTACCAATGGGTAATTTCTTTACAAGTTTTTATCGTGTTTTAGCAGATTTACTTACTGTATATGTATACACTTGTAAATGTCAAAAAAAAATAAAATATTTTTCCGATTCACTTCCGAGGAAATGTTATGCCTTAATTGGGCTTACAAAGTGCTCTTAAACATTCTTCGCATTAATAATGAAGATCTTTAGTAAAAATTTAATGATCGAGAAGGAACATTGAACCAGGAAATCGGACAGTTAGCACAAGGCATAACCGGAGGAGGTCCGGATCCACCATCTGGAGTGTAGAGTCCCCGATCTATTTACGTGTACGATTAACATAGGTTTAGTTTAGTTATCTTTCTATAAGTATTTTAGTTGATAGATTTAATAATCATAATAATCTTTAAATATTGAATATTTAATAGTTAACCGTTGCATTATAAAGGATGGAGATGGTCCGGGGTTGCGGTCATAAATAGTGGTAAAACTATTTTATTGAAAGCCGACGTTTCGACCCGACTTTGCAGGTCTTCATCAGGGAGGTGTGTTCATCTAGGAGTTTCACTTAGAACTCAATAAATAAATAAAATAGTTTTACCACTATTTAGCCTATTAATGACCGCAACCCCGGACCATCTCCTTCCTTTATAATCTTTAAATACTTCCTGGTCGACGTTTTTACATTATTTTCTGTGATATTAAGTTAGAAAAACTATCAGAGGCATTTTTTTTTTTTTTAAACACTTATAACTCAGTTTTTATAACTGTTAGAATTGGAAAAATTGGTATAATGTACCGTAAATATTGTTAATCCTCAAAGCTTCTTACTTTATCACAAATAAAATCATTCATAACGATCTCAACGTTCCACATGTTTCCGATTTATTCCAATCCAGATACCTATCCTTCCATAACAAACTTCAAAACTATCCGACCCTCTCGTTTCAAACCTTGCTTCCTCTTCGATACCTGATCACTCTCCAAGGAGTCTGAAAATAAGATGGCCTCCTGATCTACTTATGTAAATATATTATTAGAGTGCTACCAACGGGTAGCTTCTCAACAAGTGTTTTCATGTGATTGTATTATTATTGTGTTCACATTTACTGGATGTATTTTTAAATTTATACAGTTGTAAATCTCATGAATAAATAAAAATAAAAAAAAAAAGATTGTTAAAAGAAAATAGGATTAGGACATAAAGCGAGTACAGTTCACCAATTTTAGGAGTTTTGATGATGTGACAGTCCATAGATGCTAAAATAACTTTTATTCATTGAAAGTTAGCACTCTTAGTAATTCAAGGCCTTTAAAATCGTGCAAGTGAGAAGTATGTTTCAGCCAGAGTTATTTATTTATTTTTACCCATCAAAGTGATACTTAAAATTATATTTCAATAATATTATTCCTTCTGCTTTATTTATTTATCTTTCAAATCTCAAATCGTTGTTACATAACATTTCAGAGCTATTTATACATTCAGTTTTCCTAAAAGAAACATCTGTAATCACTGCAAATAACGTCCCTTTCTCTTGGTACCTGGCTAATCTCAGTTAAGAATTCTTCTGAAATGTGCTTTTAATAGCATGTAAGATGGCTAAAATGTTATAATAAGTAAATTAATATTCTTAGCCATAATAAGGCCACATCTATTATTAATTAAATAAAGTAAATGATGATATAGATGGAGTACTGGCTAAAGTTTTGGGACATAGTGAAAAAACGATAAAAATTATGTATATATATATACATAGCATTTGATGGCCTGAAGAGACATTGCCTTGAGAAAAGTTATGCTTTTCTATTTTTATATAAAGGAAATCGGAATTGTACAACCGTCGAGGAATTTCTTTCCATTGAATTGGTTATATCTTATCTTATACTTTGTTTGAGAGGTTAGAAGTCATTATAGGCAGATCTTAAACATCTATTCTCTATACCTATTCGATGTTTTGAATAAGATTCTCCAAGATGTCCCAAAAAAAAATGGACATAAACTTACAGCAGTGTAATTTAATGAGTTTGGTCCACTACATTTCCTAACTCGTAAAAAAGATCTTCCACCTCCTCACCTTTATCTTCGGTTGGTACATGGTATACTAATTAAACCAACGATCTCTGATTCTTAATACACTTATCCTCTCATAATTCGGGATGAAATTTCATGATTTATTTCCTCGCAGCTGAACATACTACAAACCAGCTACCGGCTCTCCTATTTTTCTCATTTCTACCGGTGTAGGATAATTTATTATTGGTTTAGTGGTACCTCTAGCACAACCCCTCCTCCCATATGATAGAAATGGCGAGGCACTGATTAATACAGAAAAAAAAATTACATTTATCACCACCCTACAAAGGGCTAAGAATCAAACAATACGCGAAGAGCTCCAGCTCCCCTCACCTGTACCTGAGTTCATAGGCCGAAGGCACATCAAATTTTTTGATGGGCTGAAGGCCTGTGCAAACCCACTGTTCAATGAGATCTCACCACCACCCAGACCTGGGAGGTGGCAAGGTAAACTCCCTTTGGTGGACATACTCGCCGAAGGATGTGGTCTGGTCTCTGCGGTCCAAACTCATTAATTTGTATATATTGTAAATAATAAAAAATTAGCAGAACGGTTCTTCCCCGTTCAATGTCAAAGTCACAAGGCCTTCTGCCACATATATAACCCTTAGCTATCCCCAATCCTTAAAATGCTCTCGGGCAGTGGAAGGAATTTATTGCATGTATATATTGTATTATTGTATACTATATATGTAATTGTTTCAATAAACATTTTGGAGGGTAAGAAAAAAAAAAAACATTTTTTTAATTAAATGTGAATATAATATTGGATTGGCAATAAGTCTTTTCAGTTTTTCTGTTTTTTTATATCACTATGATACACTTCTTATCTGATTAATTAATCCCTAAGGTGGATTGTTTATCCTGTTCGTAATATGTCAACAACTATATCTGTTGACTCTTGTTGAAACTAGCTTAGTCTTGTGTTTGCTATTGCACTGTGAATATGGAAGAAACTATCATTCATTATCGGCATATTTTGTTGTATTATTTTTAAAAAGGTAAGCGTGCTGCAGAAGCTCATAGGAAAATTTCGCATTGTTTGTGAGGATGATGTCTTAACCGAACTCACCTGTCAAAATTAGGTTGCCAAATTTCATTCAGGAAATTTTGATATCAATGATGCTCAACGGTCTGGTCGCCCATATGAAATTGAAACGAGCAATGTTAAGGCCATTGTTGATCAAAATCCCACCCAATCAGTGCGAGAGATTACTATGACCCTAAATGTGTCGTAGAAAACCATTTCCACAAACTCGGTGATGTTTCCAGGCTTAATGTTTTTTTTTTGTTTTCGAAAATCACAAAAATGTTATAACTTCAATACGACTTTAGCTATTTACAAGAAATTTAGAACCGCATAAACTACACTAAATGACATCAACAGAACATTCGTAAACAAACTACAAACGGAGATAAAAAATAAAAACCTATAAGGAGTTTTTGGATTTGGAGAACATCCTGAAGAATTATGAATGATCTAAAGGGTGTTGTGTTCCGCCAAGACAAAGCTAGGCCCCATACCTCATTGGTCTCTGGCAATAAATTATTGAGCCTTGGATGGGATCTTTTTCTCCATCCTCCCTATTCACTAGACCTAACTCCAAGTGACTAACACTTATTCCAGTCTCTGCAGATCTCCACGAATGAGAAGAAATTCCAAAAGGAAGAGGAAATCAAAAACCACTTGGATCAGTTTATGCATCATTTTTATGGATGTACCAGTTTTATGGATCATTATGCAGTTAGTGGAAAGATGGGAAAAAGTCATATCAAATAATGGTCAATATATTGTAGATTAAAATAAATTTTATGTCTATAGTAAATTGGGTTTTATTTTACACTAAAAAACCAAAAGGACTTATTTGCCAACCCAATAGTTCTTGCAATGATTTATATTTTTCTATTCAAGTTCAGAGATTCATAAAACCTGTGTAATTTCAGTTCCCTTTTACTCTCATTATAACGAAGGTCCACTCTACGTGATAATATAGACAGCAAAAAAAAAATTATAGGCAGAATTATTGTCGACATATTTACAGATGGAACGGACCGATAGAACAAGCTACCCGGAGATAACTGATAGCAAGTATGATACCCAAGGAAACCTGAATACCCGTTATTAGAATCTAATTGATTTTATCACACCTCTTTAAAAAAAACAAGAAGAGAAAATAAGGAGATGGTTGAGAGCAAGACGAGGGGAGGTATATTGATAAAAAGAAAAGAAAATCATGGCTTCATCGAGCGGATTACGAGTTTGTAAAAGTAGGGAGTTAAGGAGGCGGGAGGTTGTAATAACATGTTATCGCGCTACAAAGGGGCCCTAATCATACAACATCCACCTTCTCTTATCAAGTGTAAAATCTCATTGGCCATCTCTTGTACTGGTACTGGTACTGGCTCAATCACCTCCCCAAGTCACTACCTATCTCATACATCCATCGCCATGTAGTCCCACCGTCCCTAACTGCCTTGCTTTTTATTAGTTACGCGCATGAGTAACTAACTAGGTATATGTCCATCAATGTCTATGCATAAATTTAGTATTTGTATAGAATGATGATAATGTTAATTAATATCGTGCATTTTATGAAACAAATATTTAACTATGTGTTAAACTAGACGGCTAAATTCAATGTATATCCTCAGTTGGACGCATCAGAGTATTATCCAGTATTTTTTTGTGGGTGTGTGTGTGTGTGTCAGCAGTTACTCTGAAAAAAAAAAACTACCTATATGAAAATAATATATAAATAGCCCATGAAAGCAAAAAAAAACGTAATTCCAAGAACAGTAATGATTATATTTATATTTTTTCTTGACTCGTTCTTTAAATTGTTATGAAACTATTTCAATTGAAAAGAAGTAACTCGAAAAAAAAAAATTTAAGTTTAAAAATATAGGGATTCCCGTGGCACACTCTCAACTGCATCAAAGCCAACGAAAGCGCTAAATGAATTGTATAACGTTTATTAATTAATTTATATTAAAAGGAGTTTTATTAAAATAATTAGTGACCCTCCTCTTCCCTTCTCCACCGGTGATGGTCCACTAAATCATTCTTCAGATGACCACTTCTTCTCCATACTATTGGACTACCAAATATTGGATATAATGATGGAGGTCGATCCTGGAAAAGTTTATAGAAATATAAAGGATTTGGTTGAGGGTTACGAAGCTATAGAGGAGAGAGCTAGTTGACTCTAAGAGAGCGGAGTGACAGAGAGTTCGCTATCTGGAGGCCCCCTTCCAGGTCCCTATCTCGGCCCCCATCTAGCTCCTTTTTCCCTTATCGCCCCGAGGGATTTTTCCAACGCGGCAACTTTCCGTCCCCTAGATCTTATCCACTTTCAGGCCGGAGCCATGCCAAATATTTTCTATTACTCCACAGCATTAAGAAAATATTCCATGCCCATCTCGGAGATGAGATTTTCCTTGAAAGAGTCGTAGATTGTGAATCCAATATTGTATAAATAAATTTCGGTATATGATATCTATTCAATCGTTATCTGAGTTTTACTATTCGAAATTACAGAGCACATAAAATATTCCATTTACTAAATAAGTCTAATGCAACAGATGACTTACTACACTAAACTGCATTAGTCATTACTCTATTACATTACAACTTCTATAAGAACCTATAATCTGGTAGGGTAGATAATAGTTTCATAGCTTTCCCTATCTATTTTTTCGATGATACCTACTGGTAGGTATCGATCGTTAGGTTGTTAATAAGATTTAAATTTGGATTGAAGGTAGGAGGGCCGTAAATTCTCTCTTGCCTTTGCTCATTTACGGGAGAAAAGTAAACAAATTCTTAATCGATCAAATTTATTTTTGTCATTTACTGTTTAAGTTGTATTCACCGAGTAATCTTAAAACAAAATTAATATTAAAATAGTTATGTTTATCGTGTTAAACCTAAAAAAAAAACTGCTACTACCTCAACAACCATTGGAGGGTCTTGTGTTCAGTACATACTACTCTACTTAATTAATTATAAAATTTAAGATTACCAAATTTTTAGTGGATGGGTGTGCCTCAGGAGGGCCTCTGTATTCCACAGTCGATCCACGGCTCATGTACCTTCTGTATATGAGCACAGCCCCTTACTCTCTATTCAAATATTATAGTAATATAATGTTTTCCTTTAAAAAAAAATAATCTTGTAAAGTAATTTGTAAATTAAAGACATAAAGTTGTCCTTGGTCTACTAAACAGCTCCCAATATTTTATTTTTCCTTTACTCCCTGTCTAGCTATTTCTGTCTTACAGAGAGACTAGGTAGAGAACCAAACTTTTGGTATTCAGAGTTCATTCCGTGGCTCCATTACGAAATTCAAACTCCGCAGATCGGATTCAAATCTGCGCCGCTAGACTCAAGAATGTTAATGTGGTCAACGCTTTGACAATCACCAACACTACGACCTCTAACTGCCAATTATCTCATGCATGTGTAACAGAGACCCCTTGTAGCCGAACATATCCCACCACGCCATCTCTCAATCAATGGAACATCTCCCATTTGAGATCACATTTTGTGAAACATTTCCACACACTGCTATATGACTTATCCTGCTAATATGGATTTTTTGTTTCACTCTGAATTGCCTTACATAAATGATTGTTAACTAATGTTTAATTTAAATATTTCGCTATTCTTTACCGATTAAAGTTAACCTCAAACCCCTTCCAAGTATTTCTTAGATAACGTAAAAGACCATGGTTATGATTTTCACTCCTGCATAGTGGATGGATGACCAGCTAGCACCATCTCATCTTGTCAATCCTAAGGAAAGGCGATGAATGGACAAGAATCTCATTCATTGCTGCAAGAACCCTTCCCTACTCCCTAGCTACCTGCTACTACTGGACTCTCTCAACGACTCCCGGGCCCGTTGAGAGCAGACTGTGAACGGACACCGGTCCAAGAGGAAGAGCGTTCATTAGACAGACCATTAGTGAGCCAGGGAGTAATCCACAGCGATCGCCATCTACCTCGGAGGGAGCTTTATGTGGAAGGGATGAGGGGGAGGGGAGAAACTTATCTAAAGCTTTTTAATGGAGGGCTCGGGGAGGGCTGATATTAAGTCGATTAAAAATCTAATTTATTCCGAGCCGGTAGAGTTTTTGTGCAGCCCCCTCCCCTGTCCGCAATGTCCCTTCACGGCAATTGTTTTATTACCAACCTTCTTTTTAATGTACTAATACCCATTCTACAGCCAGGCTTAGCGCCAAAATACTAAAATCATATTCATTTATGTTCAGAATGCATAAATATATCAAAATATATATATAACAGATCCTTGAGGTTTTTTAAGGGAACAAAAGTGGGTGCACACCTTATCAACTCATATCCCATTATTTAATCATTGAATAGTGAGACTTGTTTAAGGTTTAAGATTCAAGTGCCAGCCTTAGACATTCGGCGCCCCGCGGGCATTGATGTCATCTTTCCCCCTCCAAAAAAAAATTAAATTTATTTCTTAAGCTATTTTATATTATGCAACATTTGAATTTTATTTCATTCAATATTTGATTGAGTGCCTGGAGATTTATTGGCGCCCCCAAAAGATACCCCTTCAGATCGCCATTGCCCCGCCCTAAGGCCGGCACTGATATGTCCAATTATAAAAACTTGAATAAATCATAAAAACAAAACTTCATCATGTATTCATGCTTCGAGTTAACCCAAAACATTTTAAGTAAAGATGTAGAACCATTACAAAAGCACCTTGGTACGTTAGCATCATAACCTTACATACTGACCTCCATATGCCGACTGTTAACGAACACATACGAACTTATTACAAACGATTCCATGACAACTTACAAAAACATCCCAATACACTTATAAATGACATGGCCACTACGGATATGCCTGGTAACGTCTGTAGGAGACTGAGGAGGAGCTGGATGAGGGATCTCCTCGCCTAATGTAGATAACACGCCGAGTGAGGTGCCGCTGGGCACTGATCCTCGTAATGCCTTTCATGACATCACAATCGACCTCACATTCACTGGTTGTCATTACCACTATGACAGGTGTGAATAAAAAAATTAAAGCAAAAAAAAAATTTTAAATTCGTGAACATGGACTGAAGAGACTGTTTTTTTGTTGATACTATAGTTGAATCGTTTAAAAATCAACAGTTAACAAATACACATTTTTTTTCCTGGACAGATAAACTTGTGACACAATTAGGTACGATATAGATTTTAAAAATATTTGTTTACTCAATAATTCTATGTTCAGCCACACCCACTGGCCATGAGTATTAGTACTAAAGGTATTTATTTATACAATATATATATACATACTAGTTAGGAATAAATATCGATAATTAAGTAATAAGTAAAAAATAAATATAATTATATAATATGATATAATATAACAATGATAAACTGCAATAAAAGATATATATGGTTATAATGCAAAATAATGAATTATCAAATAAAAGTATATAGATAAACAATTTAATTGTTAGGCAATAGAAAAAATAAATTAACGTTAAATCTAAATTTAAGTTTAATACGCATATTGTAAAAATATGATTGTATGTATATATATATATATACACTGGTATATTCTGTTGAATAAAAAAAAACAAGGGACCAAGAAAAGAAAAGTTCGGATTGTTCAAATTGGACCGTACTTCCTTGTTGTTAAACCCGAGACGCTTGATGATTTGTAAAAAAGTTTATTCCATTCACTTATCTATATATGTTATATATAGTTAGGGAAAGTATTGCGATCGTCAAAATTTTCGAATCTGAGATTTCAACGGAAATAAACGTCTTGAGGTGACCCTGAGTCCAAATAACCCAGTCCCGCACAATCGTCTGTGTGAGTGAACACTCAAAAAAAAAAAAAAAAAAAAAAAAGAAGCTCAACAGCTCAAAAAACGAAAAGCGGTACAAAAGTGAAATTACATATTTAAGGTATGCATAGCCCTTCAGTTTTTTTCGTTTTAGGTCTTCATCAGTTCTAAGCAAAGACAAGATAATAACGTTTAGCTAATAATAGGAAATAGTAAGAAAAGATTTTACCAAGAAAATAAAAAGATAATATAGTAAGAAAAATAATAGATTATTAACACTAAATACGTATAAAGAAGTGAACAAAAGATAAATTGTATAGAATAAATTAAAATACATTAGCACCGTAAATAATGACAAGGTATTAAAATATATATTATATTATACAATTATAGATATTTTAGATTATTATGTGAAATTATCTTGTGCTGATTACTGAGTAGTTTTATTTACTAATCGACAAGTTTTGATAAAAACTTTGTGACTTGGTTATTTTTCTTGATTTAAATGCTTGGTCGTAATGGGTTTATAAGGAAGTTTGAGTTGATTCTGCGTTTTAAACATGTCTCATAAGAGAACTCTTAGTCTTTGGTTGAGAGTTTTTTTTTGTAAAGGATGGCCTGAGTCATTCACCTGGCCCCTTTCATTGGACTTTGTTGTCATCCTGTCGAACTGAATTGGAGAGCAATTAATATAAATGTAATCTTCCGACAGTGGTTTTACCGGATTTTACAAGTCATTGTTGGAAGTTTTGGAGTCTAATAAAGTGTTTAGTTCTTCAATAAAAATCGAACGGGGAGTTAAGAAAATAACATATAACAATATTTAAAATAATAATGTAACAAATAATATGCATAATGCAAATTATGTAATCAATATAATTATGCAATAAGAAGGAGAATTAGTGTTTTCTTGAGGGTTTGTTGTGTTGAGCTTCTGATAGGTCAAAGTCTTCATGAAGTGGTCTTCTGTCGAGTATTTACTATTTTTTTTTTTATTTATGACATAATGATGCAACGTGACATGTTTATATTCCACCGATTCACACAAGTGCCATATTTACAGTATATTTTGAGAGCAGTTAGGGTTATTATACTACTGAATTTCGTCATGTTCTTAAAGGAAAAATACGTTTCATTGAAATATAAAGATGGATAAATCTCTCATTTTCGTTAATCAGTACAAACTTACTAGTTATCAGGTATTATTAAATCAGTTTATACATGGGTAAAACCAGTACAATGAATGGGTCAAGTCAAGAGAATGAATCCAATTCAATACTGATTTAACTAAATTTAGAAACTTTTTATCAGAACATTTAGAATTACAACTAACGCAACTTAGTAATTAGCATATCACACCTTCATATAATGGTCTTACATGTCAATCTCAACACCCACACATAAATAAAAGTTATTGCTCAAATTTAACTAACGTGCTCATTAAGGTTGACGAATCACTTTTAATGTCTAACACAAACTAAAGGAGCTGAATAAGTTACTTTCAAATTATTTCCTACATCATTTTTTCGATAAAATTAAGAAAGAAAGAAACAAAAATAACTAACATTTTATTTTTTATATATATAAATAAGTGAATTAAATAAAAGATACACCAATTATGTTATTTTCATAAATGAACTTTCATATTTGACCAAGAAAAAAAAAATTAACTCCCCAAAAATGTGAGATTTTACGTTTCAGCCTATGTAGAAACCGAAAAGAAAGCAAAAAAATCAGGCCTTCTGCCGTATTCAATACGTGGCTTTGATCCGCGAGCTGTTAAAGCTCCTTGAAGCCTTTTAAATTTAAGTATGTTACCTACTTCCCCGAGAAGAAGCTGGAAAAAATTGCTTTGCTAATAACTCAAAAAGTACGTACTTCTTGTTTGGTTAACGTATTCGAAAATGAAGGAAATTAGGGAATATTAACTTCAAATATCAAGGAGCTCTACTACGGAAGACAATGATACAAATGCAGATATCAACGGCAGGATAGCAGCTGGGTAGTAGATGCCTTTTTCGCCGAATAAACTGATTTAGATAAGACTAAAATAACCATATACAAGACAATAATAGGACCGTTGGTGACATATGGAAGTGAGTGCTGGGTGATGTCCAAGGAGAGTGATACGATTCTGAAGGTTCTGGGAGAAAGATCTTCCGATATATATTTAGCCCAGTAAAAAAGGATGGCCACTGGAAAATAAGGCAAAACAGAGAGCTCTAACAGCTCTTTGGTGAGCCTGATATTGTAGCATTAATCAAAGAAGGAAGGTCGCGATGGCTGGGCCATGTTCAACGGCTGTCGGATGGGAGGCTACCAAAAAAGATAATGAACGGCAGGCCAAAAGAAAAGAGACTAGCATGAAGACCAAGCCTTAGGTGGTTGGATGACGTAGAGGACGATTTGAGACGGATAGGAGTAAGAGGATGCGAAGGCAGAAGATAGGCAGGATTGGCTTCAATTTTAAGTGAGGCCAAAGTCTAACTAGAATTGTAGGGCCATTAAGTAAGTAAGGGAATATCAAATCATTGTTTGAAAAATCATCGAAATCAGACGTTTTGGTTTAAACGTTTAACAAATATTCCATTACAAAACCGGTCACCTTTATATCGGTTTTTTATTAATTAAAACTTTACATCTACTGTATATAGTAATCAAGATTATCATTTGATTAATAATTCAGCACACTATTTAATTTATTTATTTAGGTTGTTTTATTTGTGATTACTCCAAAACTTTACAAATGCTGTACATAGTAATCAAAATTATCATTTGAATTATAATTTAGCAGATTATCTTATTATTCTATTTACTTTGTAGTTCATTTGATCGTATTTTATTTTTGATTACTCGAAAAATTTACATCTACTGAATACATTATTCAAAATGGTCGATTTAACAAAAATTTAACAGGACCAATAAAGTAGTGTGGCATGGCACACATATTTGACGTATAACTATTTGGAAGTAATGAACTATTATGTAATAATTTGCAACATTTTAATATATAGTTAACTTTAGTGTTCATGTATTCAGTGCCGGCCTTAGGTGGGACAACCGAGCAATCGTCCAAAGGCGTCTTCAAGAACTCTCGCCACGTTTTAATATATAAAAAAAATACAAAACGTATTAAAAGAATTAATTTTACCCTATCAATAAAGTAACTGTATCAGAGGAATGTTAAATAAAATAAAATTCAAATATTGCATAATATAAAACAGCGTAAGAAATAAATTTAATTTTTATGGAAGGAACCTGACATCATTGCCCGGGGGGAGTGCCGAATGTCTAAGGCCGGCGCTGCATGTATTTACATCTGTAATTACACCATTAGGGGTTAATAAAAACTGTGTATAATATCTATTTAAAAATCTTGACCAGCATCAAAGTCTTGCCTCAAATCAATTACAACTTAATAGTCGACATTTTACTTTATACCTATTACAGCGTTAGAGATAGATAGTAGTTACCGACCTCGGTGTTGACTCGCTGCCCTTAGAGTTGAAAATAAATCTGATGAAAACATACTTATACCTCAGTCTGGAAGATGAGTGACTTACCCAGTAAGCTACTATACTTCATGGATTAATTATTTTATTTTTATTAAATCTAATTAATAGAGTAAGTGTAATATTAGTTCTCTTGGGAAAAGGCAATTCTATAGAACTATTTAAATATGCACTGACATTATTCCTATCTGATTTCGTTCTTATCAGTCCGGATCGAGATCAGAGATCTCGGAGTGCATCCAGCCTGAAAGGCCGCCTGAGATGGACGTTGGCTGGGAGCGGCGACTCCCGGAACATGACGTTTCGGGGGTGGCGCGGTTGTCATCTTGCAGTGAGGGAGGACCCTGCTTATGCTTGCCATTTGCATATCGTAGATCGCTCGGGGCGGGCCTGGCGTGCCTGCGATAAGGCTATCAGCTCGCGTGTCCCCCGCTATGAAATCATAGCCCACACGAGCCGGCACCGCCTCCCACCGCCGGCTCCGATATTACCCTTCGTATCCTCGTCGTCCTCTGCATCGGGGTCCCGAGGATGGCACCGAGGACAGGGATTAACATCTGCTTGGATTTTTAGCGAACCAGAGGCAAATCGTCTCAGGAAGTAGCAAACCTGGTGATATTGCTAGTTACTCCTTACGAACAAGCCGATATTTGTAAATCATAGCCAAAATATCTTAAATACTTCAAAAACAATACGTAATTTAAATCCACTCATACATTAAACATGACTGAGGAACATTCCTTCAAACGTATGTACTGTCCATAAAAATTATATCATTTAGAGACATCTAAAGTAAATCTACCTGTAATAGACCCTTCTACAAACACTAATGTGAACCGCAGCTTTGTTGATTGGTTGAACCGTCAGCAATTTTTGTTTTCTATTCAGTCGCTTAGTTAATTATACATAAAAAACAGGAGTTCTGACAGCGTATATTGCACCAGTAATAGAAATCCAGGTTTTGGGCTCAGTAGATCTTTTTATAAATTAAAATTTTGATAATAAATATTGTACAACTTTAAACTTTCCTTTTCTTTTTTTTTTTTTTTTTTTTTTGTCCTCCTTTTCCTCGCCTTTAAGGCTATACGGAGTTTTCCCGGGTCAGGGGGTGAGGGCGAGGATTTAAAAGACTCCGCTGGCACCAAGACGCGAATTCGTGACTATTTTTATCAATTATTCATATCAGATTGCCGGAAAACGGCGGTGCTGTTCAGATTTAAATTAAGAAATGAAAGATTACAAATGAATAAATCAAAATTACTTTGAAATTTCTACCGTCTCCTGAAGTAAAGTTATAGAGAAACCTTCCTGAAAAAATCTAGAGTCAATCGGCTATTGTGGCATCACTGGTTCAGGCATCACCCTCTTAAATGATTTTGGTAAATAATTATTAAAAATCAGCCATTCTGAATCAAATTTAACTGGCATAAATGGAGTACCCTTATACCACTATTACTTTTATTTTATTTTTTCTCTCGTTATCGCGATTTTTAGTTTATTTATTATTATAATTATTTCGTTGTTACTTTATGATTGAATTTTGGTATGTCTTTTTTGGCCAGTCATGTTTCTTAATTATTAGCAATGCCGGTCTTACAGGCCTTAGACATTTGACGCCCGCGTGCAATGATGCAATTTCTCCTAAATAAAATTAAATTTATTTCATAAGCTGTTTAATATTACATAATATTTAAATTGTGTTTCATTCAATATGTCTCTAATCCATTGGTCTTAAATTATTTATTGAGCAAGTTCCTAACTCAGCGCTACTCGATTGAAGGATTTCCAATGATCATCGATAATCTCAGCACTGGGTTTAGGAAATGCCCATTCTCATACGCTTTGTTATTTCCTTTTTAATTCCCAACAAGTGGCGGGGACTCCTCTACAAACAGGCGCGCCTGGCGTATGCCGATATTGCCCTGCCTTGAAGTTATCACTAGTTAAGAGACCTAGTCCCAAAATAAAGTTTATTTTATATTCTATTTTAATAACTTTCTCGGTTTTCATTAATATTCTTAACTAAAAATGGAATTATACATTGACTTTTTTAGTCGGTTGAAAAATTTACAAATTTTCAAGGAATCTTAAAGTCTAATGTAATACTTGAATTAAGCTAGGATAAGGTTATGATATTTTTTACTTGGTCCTTTTACTGACTATTCATATTGATTGATCCAGCCTAATCCATCTATGATGTGAATGTTTGTTTTTCATTTTTTTTTTGGTTTATTATTTTTTTTTTATATAAACAATAAGTATATTTAAAGATAACAAGAGTCAGTAACAAAATTATACTATACAATCCAACGCCTTGTCAAAGTGACCAGGTGGACACTACCTGCCGGTTTATATCTATAACTGTTGTTTATCTCGTAATCGTAACGGTACCTCTGAAATAACAGGCAGTTAGAAAGTGTCTCTCCAAAATTTTAAATTATTTACGGTTTTAACTACTGTATTTATATTCTATTACTATTTTATTATCACTTACCTCTGAATGAAAAATACAGTAAAGCTATCGTGAAAAATTTTAAATCAGGGTTTCTAAATAAATATGTATTTTATGTTCACCTGAGCTCAAATAACCAAGTATCGCAAAATGATCCGCATTTCTTATTGTTATTTAATAGAGGAAATTCCTTAGGTCATCAACATCATTTTTTCTTTTTTTTTTTCTCCCATTCTTTTTTTTCTAAACTTTTCTTTCTAATACTCTACTAGTTATTTGATGTCATTTATATAAGAAATTTTAGATTGATTACTTGTTCGTCTTCAAATATGGTTCTTAATTCAGATATTAATCCATAAATATTCAGATATAAGGTAACATGAAAATTTCTACAAAATGTGGCTGAAAAATGGTCTGTGTCTATGTGAACAACATAGATTAAAACCGAAAAGATATACGACACTGAAATTACGTATATATGATTGGCATCAGCCTGGAATGTTACAATTGTTTCGCTGAAACCAACTTAAGTTTTTATATTACCGACTTTAAAATTTATTCGAAAACGAGACTGAGGATTTTAACAAAACTCGGTGTATCGATTTGAACTTACATGATTTTTATTATCATTTAGGTCTCATTCGTATTGAAATAATCTGACAATACTCAAATGCCGAATTTTCAGCATTAATTCCTCTAAGATTTTATTTATTCGTTTTTTCTATTAATTGCGAAACATCAGTTACAGAAGTATGGGAAAAATTAGATTAATTCGCGGCATAAACAACAAAACAGTAATATCTGGCATAGAAGTAGCGGGTGATATTATAACAAATCCATCAGATATAGCTGAAGTGTTGGCCCAACAATTTTGTAAGCCATCGGTTAAGCAATAAGGAACTAACTCACATAGAAAACCAAGAAGCTGCATATTCCAAGTTCTAAAGTTTACCATCATCTATCTTTAATATTGAAAGAAATGGAAATGGTAATTAAAAATCTCTTAATAAATCAACAGCAGGCTTAGACGAAATTTCCTACGCAATGATTAAACATTTGCCATGAGGTAGATCATACTTACTTCAACTGTACAACAAAGTGTGGGATGCTGGTAATCTCCCCAAGCAATGGAAAACCTCAATAATCATCCTTTTTTCGAAAAAACATATTTCGAGACATCCAGTTTCGCCCTATTTCATTGCTACCGTACCTATCTGAATTACAAGAAAAAATGGCAAAGAATAGACTTGTGGATTGCATGAAGCAAACTATTTACTCCTCATCAACTCGGTTTCGCAGGACATTTCATAACTAATTCGATTTTGTTACTGGAACATGAAGTTGAAGAAGAAGTATTCTCACAAAAAGAACAATTGGTTGCTGTCTGCTTAGACTTGGAAAAGGCTTACGATACCATGTTAAGAGGCCATGTAATGCAAATCTTAAATAAATAAGGTGTCCAGGTGAAATTTAAGACTTACATTGAAAACATTCTTAAAATAAGAAAATTTCAAGTCAGAGTTGGGTTCTCTTTTTCGTCAATCCACTTTTCTAGAAAAGGCACGCCACAAGGTTCACTTCCAAGTGTAATCTTATTTTTAATTGCAATGAAGGATCTATCACGTAATTTCAAATGACCTTTTTTTTTTTTTTTTTTTTTTTTATTTATTTAGATATATAATATTCTGTCACGTGGACAATAATTATAGTGATAAATAGACACATTCACATCATATATACAGTAAATTAAATGAACTATTAAAATCACAATGTTTGCCAATGACGTATTACTATTAGTTCGTAGTAAATCTCTGTATTTTATTGAGTGGAAGCTCCAGAAAGCATTGAGGAAATCAGAAAAATGGGCACGAAATATTGGCTTATGTTTTTCGATAGATAAAACTAATGTCATGCATACATGCAGAATATGATGATGTTCTACAAATCCTAATCTAAAATTAGGGATGACCGACATCTTGTTTGAAGATCACCAAAAATACTTAGGTATTCAACTGGATAAAAGCTTAAATTGGACTGACCACATTAAAAGTCTTCAACGAGAATGTTAAGGTCTCCTAAAGTATCTTTCACATGCTATTTGTGGAGCTGATAAAATCAGTCTATTGAAGGTATACAAAGCAATGATTCGAAGGAAAATGGATTATGGGTCGTTTGCATATAGAACCTCAAAAAGAAACATGTTGAAAATACTTGAACTAATACATAGGAGCTTATAGAACACAATCAATTGAGAGCCTTTATTGAGGCTAGGAGGGCATTTATGGATGTATGCAAAATATGGAGTCAAAATAATTTCACTTTCACGACACCCCTAAACAGACATGATAGTTGGTCCAGAAACCTCTGTACATAACAGTTTCAAGCAAAATATATTTTAAAAAATTTGAGCCTTAAATATGAACCTAAATTTAGCATTGTTAAACTAATATAAAAATTTCAAAATTCTGTACACAGGTACAAAAAAAACCAGAAAACAAGTGAGATGTTCAGTCGTTACTTAAAGCGAGAAACTCTTGTACAATCCTCCAGCAAAGTGCTCTATCTTCACGGGAGAAGTCATGGCCATAAAAGAAACACTCTTGCACATCCGCACAATCCTTTTTCAAAACCATTGTCGTCAAATTGATCAGATGATCAGAAAATATAGACATTTCATTGTTGGTATTTTTAATGCTAAATGACAATAAAGAGCTCATAACATTGAAAATCGTTTTATGATCACAAAGACTCTCTTGTCAGCTTTTTTTTCTGAAGAAGAAGCCCTACAAAATGGACTGAAACGTCGACATTAATAAAACAGTTTCGTACAACATTCTCTGATTAATTTTATCCGCCACCCAGCTATGAGCATCGTCTAGATTATACGTATCAACTATTCCAATAAGAAATTTTAAAAAAATGTAATTATTTATTAAGCAAACAAAAATGTAGAACATTAGATTAAATTTGCAATATGCAAATTTCTTTGCAATGAGCAAATTTTTTGGCAGCTTCACAGCTTCCCATCACGCCCGGGATATAAATTAGATCAGCAGGTCTCTTGGCCAACGCCTACGTAATCGTCGTAGAGGGCTGTATGGGTTTCTTGTACAATGAAGGATTTCTATCAGGAGATTCATGTTGTACGTCAG